CAGACAGGAACATTGCCACTTCAGCAGGACGGCTGAGCTGGAGACCTTGAATTTGGCCGTGAATTCTTTCTGACCTTCCACTGAGCCTAGAAGATTGTGAATCTAGGTATGACTGTTGTCCAGTCTTTGCATTGGACAGGTAAGGAAAATAAGGCTCGGAGAGTTTTAAAATAAGTTACCCACTGTCGCATAGGTAGTCTACACGGGGCGGGGAATAGGCCCCACATGTCTACACAGAGATCCTCTGGGCTACTTGGCCTGTGTCGCCTCCTTTGCCAGCACTCCCCTTGTCCTCACACTGCGGCACTGAATGGTGCAGAGCAGCCCTGCTGTCTTTCCCAGAAACTCCTTATTCCCCAGTTGCTGGTCTTTACTTCCCTCTCCTGTGCGTGTTCTCAGAATGTCTAGAAAAATCTGACAGCTGGTGTTCCATTTAGGGACAACACTTGAGAGGGGGGGGAGCGGTGTCTTGAAAGGGCTCACACACAGATCTTGTTGCGCTTCTACTCAACTTCCAAATATAATATGACTTCACTGGCGATGAAATGAAAAACCAGGAAGGATGATGAAGCTCTGTCCAGTAAGGAGCCTTAGTAACGCCTGCACCCTAGGAAATGGCCCTGACAATGAAGGGGCCAGGCAGGACTTTGTCAGGTAGACCTGGGTTCAAATCCTGACTTGCTATTTCACTTTGGATAAATGAGTCCACTGTGCCGAGCCTCAGTTTCCTCATCTGTGCCACAGGGGCCACAGAGCTTTTCTTTCAGACTGCGCTGATAGGTCAGTGGGATGTGTTAACAGGTGACCAGCCCTTGCCGGCATGCTGAGCAATTCCCTTCTATCCCATTCCTCCTGGACTGTGTCATTAGGGATTAAGCAGTAAACAGTGGAAGCAAGCACTACCAAGCTTAGTATATAGTTTAAGTTGTCATAGGATCCCTTACTAAGGATCAGTGACAGGCAAATAAATGATTCAATCATGTGATCACTCAATTAAACATGTCAGTGACTCAAACCAAATAATAAAATACCAATTTGTCTCTCAGTGTCACTGAGCTTATGTTCTCAAAAAATAAAAGGTCTGGTGATCACAGGTGGCTGAACTGAAACAAAACCATCTCAAAACTCTCTTATGTAGCAGGGACGGGGAGTGGGCATCATGGGTAGTCACATACTCATGTATCTAACCCGTTTTGGTGGGTGCGGACCTATTTATTTTTCCAAATAATTATAACACAAATGTTGCCAAGTAACCACCTAAGTAGACCAAGCATAAGTTACCTTAATAAGGATATTCAAAAAGATCTGAGGGATTGGGATTGCCTGCAAGTCCTACTTGTAGCCAAATATTCTCATGGGATTATTCTCATATAGACTACTAATTGTGGATGGCAGGGAGCCCCTAAATTCAGTAGGGTTAATGACCTCATGCCCAAAGCACCCAGCACAGTGGGTGGCACCTGTTCAGGGCCTGACTCAACGTGAATGACTCCACTCCAGAAGCCAGGTGTGAATGCCAGAAAGGCCCACTTCCCAACCCCTGAGTTAGACTTTTAGTCTCTTCCCCGACCTTCATGCAGGCTTCTGTAGATGACTTATTTTGGGGTTTCAGGAAAACGAGTTCTACACATCATATGAGCCCCCAGTTCAGAGTTTCCTGAAGTCAACAAAGCTTTCCTTAGGTGTAGCTCGGAATGTCATCCCATTTCCTCTTGTCCATCCCTCTAACTGACTCCATGGCACACAGGTGGCCCAAGGATGCATTTTCAAGCCTTTTCCACGCTGCTGAATCCCAACTGTGACTCCAGCTTTGCTGACCTCAAAGCCACGGGATGTGGGCTTTATTTAAATTCTCTCTCTGCCACAGAACGTCTGTTTCATGGACCCCCCTCCTCCTTCCTTGATCACAGAAAAATGTGCCCCTTTCCCTTTAGAGACAAAGACCTCCTGCACCTTCAGGTTTTTGTTCCTCATTGATTCCTTGCTCTGACACCAAATTTCCAGGATTTCCAATGCCCGTGGATCGCCGGCTCTCTAGGTGAGCTAATCAGCACGTAGGTGTGTGCTTGCTGCAGGGGAAAGGGCCTCCTGGGTGGGGAGCAGCAAGAGCCGAGGGGCCTGACTAGGGCTCTGGAGTCTGGAGGGACTGTCCTGACCGCTTCCTTCCCTCTCACCGGTCAGCGTGTTATGAGGAAGAGTAGATTTGAGGAGAAAAGCACGCCCTCACTTGAAGGAAGAAACCACCTTGTGCCTTCAGATTCCGATGCTAGATTTACTAAGACTGGGCATGGTGGAAGCTGATCGGTGGGTGAGGGATCGGAGATGCTGGAGAAGGCATGGCTGAAGTGGCTGGACAGGGTGAGGGATCGGAGATGCTGGCAAAGGAGTGGCTGAAGGGGCTGGACAGGGCATGCTGCCTGGGCCAGGGCAAGAAAGGACAGCAAGGAGTTGACAGCTTGGGGAAGGGGAGGGCCCAAAGGGCTGGGAGGAAGGTGAGATTTAGAAGGCGTGAGTCACGCAACTGTGCCGTCAGGTGGCGCTGAGAGCAGGGAGAGGTTCAAAACGCCAGCAGGGCCCTGTTGTGGGCACAGGCGTGCAAGAAAGATGGAAAGGAGGAGGTCAAGGTCAGCCACAGGGTCTTAAATGGACTTGTTCAGTCCTAGGGCACCAGGGGTGAACTCAGTCCCTGGGCATCATCTCTTCCTAGACACCCTTGCCCACAGCACAATCAGGAAGGCCCTTTCCTGAACATAGAGAAATGGGCATTAAGTATATGCACCTGTGGCTTCAATCATGCCTGAGACTGAAAAAACTTAAACCTAAACACAAACCAGTGACCTTGCTTTTATGCTTTTGGGGCCAAATAGTGCTGAAATGTGTGTGTGTGTGTGTGTAATATATATATTACATATATATACACACACAAAGAAAAACCAACTCTTTGACATGAAAATATACAAAAGGGATTATGAATCAAGGTCACAGAGGTCATTCTAAAAAGCAGTGTGCTAATTACAAAATGATGTTTCTTTAATTAAATAAGATCGTGAATTTTAAAGCATTTAGTACAGTGCCTGGCCTTACCATTTACCAACCCCAAATGATAGCTCTTGCTAATGTTATATGTATGAATCATTTGATAGCCGTTGCCAGTGTTATATGTATGAATCATCAGTGCAGACCCACTAAGACTTCTATTTGGAAATCTTTTTGTCAGTTATTCATTTCATTAATATATGAGCTTTTGAGTAATAAAAAGACATGGCTTAAAATTCAGGTTACTTCCCAGTGCGGTCTGACCTTTCTCAAATTACTAAGATTTGTGACATTTCTCAGAACAAAACAGTGATCCACAAACAGAGGCTCCTGTGGAAAATGAGATGCCCAGAAACGCTCTTTCCTCCTGTGTCAGAGCGGTTGCTGACACTGGGGGGCTCGAACCCAGATGCTTCCACTGTTTGAGCACATAGTCTGTCAGCCGAGAGAGATGAAAGGGAGCCCAGGCCTGCTGTCTCCTCAAGTTTTAGTCCAATCCCTGCCCTCTGCACCTCTACTCACCCTCCCAATCCCCTTGCCTGTCTGTCTGGAAGTGGCGATGGCTGTGACCATGCTGCCCTGTGTGGTCTATGAAGCTGCAACTCCAAATACCATCATAGATGCTATGGCCCAGGTCACACGAAAGGAGACCAAGGCAGCCTCTGAGCCACAGCTGGGTTCCGATGGCTGTCCATAGCACTTTTGAAAATTTTAAATTTGAACACCTTTACAAAAGGGCGTTGCTCTCAAGTCTACCCCAGTCCACACCACACCCTATTTCCCTGGTTCGAGTTCATTTAGTTTGTCACCTCGGAGTATAAGCCACTCCTGTTTCCTCTTGCCATGCCTTTAATCCTGCACCACTGGCACAGCAGTGCAGCCCAGGCAGGGCTGGTGGGAGCCCAGGTCCGAATGGGTCGCTGTGGCCAACGGCCCAGCTCAGCCCCGAGCGGCCTCCCCGCCATGGCCTGGCCGGCTCTGATGTGGCAGCTCCGGACAAGGGACCCCAATGCCATTCTGATATCTAGGCGACAGCTTACCACCTGCACATATTGACTCGTATATATTGACAATTATATCGCTGACCATCTGTAGATATTAACTTCTGTCCGTGTTCAGGAAAAAAAGAATAGAAAAAAATAGTTTGACCTCTTTCAGAAACCTCAGGATTGAATAAGTTAGGAACTGCTTGCGGTCTGCTTCGCTGCTTTAATGTAATTTTAAAGATTCTAGACATCAGAGCTGTTAAAGCAGCTCTGGTTTTTCAGCGTTGGATTTAGCTCCCCTGGAACTCTTTACTGATTGGGGGGATAAAGCTTTTCCTTATTTTCTTTCATGAGCCCAAGAAAAATGGCCTTTCAGGGGGCTCTTTTTTGGCCCCAGGAGAACCTATTTCTCTGTAACTACTTTGTTAAGTTCATGAGAGCCCTTCCATGAGTGGGGCTCTTTTCTGGCCAGTGCGTTCAGGGGGCACAGCACAGAGGTAATCCATCCTTAAAGGTCCTGTGAAGCAGGTACAGTTATCTTGATGTTCATAGATGAGGAAACACTCGGAGAAGGTACACCCCTTGCCCAGGTCACACATTAGCCACTGGACTTGATCAGGGTTTACCAGCAGCCTAAACAGGCTCTTTCCACCACCCTGTGCAGCCCCCACCGAGCAAAGGCACTTAGCAAAGACAAACACCACAAAGCCCACATCCAGTCACAGACCTCAGAGAATCCCTGGAGGAAGGACACGGTCATTGGGGATTTTACACAAACGCAGAGTTTGGGGGAAATATAGAAAGAAAAAGAAACCAATTGCATCTTTGCAAAAACGATCTTTAAACCTCAGTCCTGGATTCTTGGCTTCTGCACCAAGCCGTTCCAGCCCAGGAGACAGTAAACATGTTCTTCATACAGAGGATGTGAAGTGTTGGCCTGTCCCAGACCAGGGAGGAAGCAGAAGCAGGGGCACCTACCGCCTTCAAACTCTGTCTGGCAGTTCCCCGAGGTGTCGTTCAGGCTCTCCTCCTCGTTGATGATGATGTTCTCGATGTCCTTCATTGTCAAGTGGTCCCGGAAGGCATGATAGAGGATGTGCTTCAGCTCCTCCAGAGTTATCCTCTGCATGTCGAACTGTGGAGATAAAGAGGAGTGAGAGGGTCTCGGGCACACTGGGGAGAGAACTCTGCTTTGGGCACGACCCTCAACCCTAAAGCTCCTTTACGGAAACTTGTCCCAGCTTTTCAGGACATCAGATGAGCAGTTTTCCGTCATGTTCAGCTCCAGGCACACTTTTGGACTTGCAATAACTTATTGGGAAGACAGTGAGTACAACATATCCCCCTCCACTGAGACTCCTGGAGAGAAAAATGCCACCTGCTCATTTGGTTTCCCACTCATCCAGCCATCTGCTGTCACCCCTTGTGTACTTGGGAGTTGTCACACTTCAGACAATGCACGTCTCTAAAAATTTTATGATCTCCCCAGAAGTCAGCAATCCCCATCTTGCTGTATGTATCTCATTCTAATAAGATAAAGTGCGGGTTCAAAGCTGAGTTCATGAGGAAGAGCAGCTGAAGGGGAGATGCGGCCCTCCCGGTTACGTTCTGCCTCCTGGTGACAGCATTGTGCTTTCCCACTGCATTTCCATCAGGCTCAGTTGTCACTTTCTTAGCCGGTGAAAGGTGAGCAGAAGTCCCACGTGCCTCCCCCCGCTGAGAGCGCCAAGAGCCATCGTGTGGTTCTATCGCTCATTCCTCCCCCTGCCCTGAGAACAGCATGCCCGGTGCAGGGGCTGCTCCTTCTGTCTGGGTCCCAGCATGAGTATAAAGGGGAAAATTCCTGCAGATATTCCCCAAAAGAACAACAGTGTGAGGAAGAAATGACCTTTTTGTCGTTAGCCATGGAGACGCGATATTGGGCTTCTTTGCTACCACAGCATAAGGTGAGTTAAGTAAACAATACAGAGGTCAACATACAGAGATCAGTACATAGAAATGGCAGGCTACCATTAAAAAAATTCTACAATATGATGTACGTCTTCCAGGACCAGGCAGTGGGAAATGAAAAAAACAAAACAAAAACTGTTATTGGAAGCTAGAAAGATAATAACCCGTCATTTGTCGAAGACCATAAGTAACATTGAAGTCTATGAAGAGAATCTTATCTGCATAAATTGTTCGTATAATCCTAGTATTTTAAAATGAAACCTAATATTTAAAAAATATTTTTAAAAATTATCATCTTGATATTTTAAAAAATGTTTTTTAATTGTTTTGATAAAAAAGTAATTTTAAAAATAAATTTAAATGGCTATTCTTTAGTGCCAAAAGGTTGACTTCCTAATTCAACAAATAGTTTCTGATGACTCCATGCCAGACACTGAGGCGGAGGCACAGAGGTGAGCAGGACACAGAGGCAGAGGTCCTGCTCTCAAAGACAAGCCGGTGAGCGATTTTACTTCACGCTGTGACCAGTGAAGCACAGGATGACTTGGGAACCCCTGGGGAAGGGAGACCCAGTCCTAGAAGACTTCTGGGAAAACAGGCATGCAACCTAAGGCTTAAAGGAAAAAGAATTTGCCAGGTGAGTGGGGTGGGGACTGAGGAGAGGTGGGGGGAGGGAGGAGAGAAGCACATGTCAGGAGGGGGAACATGAGACCAAGGCTTCGGGTGTGAAAACTCCACACGTCACCGAACGGTCGTGTGTTGAGTTCTAAGGGCTGAGAGCAGTAGGCGAAGGTGCTGGGGGATGTGGTGAGAGCTGCGGGTAGGGTGCTAATCCATAAAGGCCTGCATGCCATGGTTAGGAGCTTGGTTGATTTTGTCTTTATTTTTATTGTGATAAATATACATAACAAAATTTATCATTTTGTCCATTTTTAAGTGGAAGTTCAGTACGTTCAGGGCATTAAGTACATTCGCAGTGTTGTGCGACCGTCACCACCATCCATCCAGAACATCTGCATTTTCCCCAACTGCAGCTTCATGCCCATTAAATTCTATTCCCCATTCCTCCCTCGCTCAACCCCAGGCAACCACCATTCTCTTTTCTATAGAAAGTCAAACATGAATTTGACTGCTCTAGGTACCTTATGTAAGCAGAATCATACAGTATCTGGCCTTTTGTAACTTCTTAATTCACTTAGCACAGTGTCTTCAGGTTCATCCATGGTACGGCATATACAGCGTGCTTCGGAATTTTATTCCTTTTTAAGGCCGAACACTATTGGGTTGTGTAGTCAATGCTACATTGCTAATCTATTTATCCATCCATGGACACCTGGGTTGCTTTCATCTTGTGGCTATTGTGACTAAGGTTGCTATGAACACAGGTAGAAAAACAACTGCTCATGTCCCTGCTTTCAGATGTTTTGTGTTTTTTTGGCATATACCTAAAAGTGGAATTTCAGAATCATCTGGTAAGTCTATGTTTAATTTTAGGGAAATAAAGCTTGATTTTATCTTTTGGGTAAAATGAGGTACTACTTATGGATTTTCATCAGAGAAATGACTTCATCAAGTTTGGGCCTGAGAAAAGTTACCCTTTGATACAAAGAGCAGGACAACCAGGCTATAGAAATAACAGATTTAGAAAGCACCATGGCCTATGAGGACAGAGAGAATTCAAAAGCATGTAGGGAAAAGGTTGACAAGACTTGATGAGTCATTGTGTGTGGAATGTGGAGAGTGAGCCCATTGGGTTGACACCTGGGCTTTATGTTGAGCTGAATGATAACAGAGGAACAACAGGCTTAGAGGGAAAGGGGACAAGTTAAATGTTGGATGTGTGCATTGGAGTTTCCCAACTGATAAGTGCAATGGGAACATCGATTATAATGGGAACATTATAATATTCGGTCTCTTGTCCTTGGTTCCTGACATTGCTTCAGAGCCATAAAAGGGTATCTTGTTATACATAACAAGCCTCTTTCAATCCCAACTCAGTTTATGGTACTGAGGTGACTTTTGGAAAGCCCCTAAAGGTGGGCATGCTGGTTGACAGGGGAACCAACCAGGGACAGAGGGCTGAAACTTTCCGTCCCATCCCCGGACTTCCTGGGAGGGGAGAGGAGCTGGAGACTGAGTTCAGTCGCCATGGCCAGTGATTTAATCAACTGTGCCTACGTCATGAAGTCTCCATGAAAACCCAAAGGACGGGGTTCAGAGAGCTTCTGGGTTAGAGAACCAAAACACTTCTATGTGCCACTGTGCCAGGCCCCAAACTCTGCAAGGACACAAGTGCCTTTGTTTGGGATTTCCCCTGTGCATCTTTTTACCCGGATGTTGATTTGTATCCTTTAATATCCTTTGCAACAAACCAGTAGTCTAGTGAGTAATCTGGTTTCCTGAGTTCTGCGAGTCACTCTAGCAAATTAATCAAACCCAAGGAGGGGGCAGTGGGAACCTGGGATTGACAGACATACCTCAGAATTACTGCAGGTTCTGCTCCTGACCACCACAGAAAGCAAATATCGCAAGGAAGGAAGCCTTAGGGAGTTTTTTTGTTTCTCAGTGCATATAAAAGTTATGTTTATACTATATTGTAGTCTATTAAGTATGCAATAACATTATATCTAAAAAACAATGTACTTACCTTAATTAAAAATACTTTATTGCTAAAAAAATCTTAACTATCATCTGAGCCTTAAACCTCAGGAACCAACCTCTGCTAGCCTCAGACTTTTCTGCTGCTGCCTCCTTACCTCTCAGGCTTCGCAGAATTGAAGAGAGTAGGGAGGGCCTTGCTCTAGATTAGGTAAGGAAATGCTGTGGCTGCTTTGATCTTCTATCCAAACCACTAAAACTTCCTCCCTATCAGCAATAAGCTCGTTTCACTTGCTTGTCATTAGTGTGTTAACTAGAGGAGGCTTTTCATTTCCTTCGAGAACTTTTCCTTTGCATTCACCGCTTGGCTAACTGTCTCAGCTTCTGACATGCCTTCCTCACCAAGCTTAAGCATTTCTAGCTTTTGATTTAAAGTGAGGGACATGCAACTCTTCCTTTTGAGACAAGCCAGTAAGCCAGGACATGTGGAATAGGGAAACTGAGACAGATAGCTGAACAAACTGGCCGAGCGATTTATAGCAGATACAGAAGCTCACCTCCTTAGAGATAACATTTAAGTCTCAGTTGTATTTTAGCTCCAGGTCCAGAAAAGCAGCAAAATCAGGTGGGCAATGCCAGTTGCAATGACTAATGGATGACTCCCTACCCTGACACTGACCAGTCAGTGGAGACCACAACCCTGAAAGGGCACACTTAGAAACACTGATGAATACTCTGCTGAAACCCTCCCCTGAGACCTTGCCTAAGATTCCCAGCTGCAAGAGAAAAATAAAAAACCTGTCTCTAAGATCCCCTTTTTTCTGCCTTTCTAGAGAGCCAAAGCAGCCCCACCTAGTCTCTCTCCTGTTGCTTCTTCTATCCTGGGCCCTTCCTTGTTTCACTGTCCCCAGCTTTAATAAACGTACTCTCAAAATCACCTGGACTTGTGTTGTGAAATCTTTCCTGCACGAAGTCAAGAACCCACACACTACTGGCTGCCCTAGGCAGACCCGCTCTGGCCCGGTTCCTTTCAGGTAACAGTTTCACTTGAACACTTAGAGGCCACTGTCGGGTTATTTACTGGCCTGATTTAAACACCGTTGTGTCTCAGGAAACAGAGAGACCCCAAGAGAGGGAGAAAGACGGGAAAGGCCGGTCAGTGCAGCAATCAGAACACGCTATTTATTAACTGGTTTCGCTGTCATATGAGTGCAGTCCATGGTGCCCATAACAAATATAATAATCATCATCATCAAAAGTTTGAAATATTGTAAGAATTACCAACACGTGACACAGAGACGCAAAGTGAGCAAATGCTATTGGAAAAACGGTGCCGAGATACTTGCTCAAGGCAGGGTGGCCATAGACATTCAACTTGTAAAAAATGCAAAAAGCTCAACCAAACAAGGTGTGCCTGTAGAGCCAACCATTCAGAGGCACAGTAGCAACCTGGGCCTGTGATGAGCAGCCGAAGGGAAGGCCAGTCTGTGGGACTGAGTGCTTCCTGAGTCTGATCCTATCTCCGGGTAGGTCGTGGCAGAACTGAGTTGAATTGGAGGGTGCCCAGCTGGTGTTGGAGAACTGCTT